CTTATTATTATTTAAAGAAAATTATTCAAAAGATTTTAAAAAGAAATTCAACATCTTATAAAAAGAATTTTTTTTCCCCATTAATTTAATGTATACATATTTATAGTTCTTTAGAATCATCTTCTTCACTTCCCTTCAAAGAAAATGTTAATTAAATTTAAGAACATGACACACTTATAAATCTAAAAAAAAAAAAAAAAGCAGTAGTAGCATAACAACCAAAAAACACAAACCCCATTGGAAAATATTTGTTTTGGTCATTACTTTCAAAGAATAATCAATTGAATGCATCTAAGTAAGCAAAGGAGAAAATCAAGTAAAATTTTTACTTGGAATGAAAAGAAAACTAAAAAGCATAAATAAGTAAATAACTTACCTTGAAATATTTAGAGAGAAAAGCTAGTGACAAAAAGAGCACTTGCCAGACTCATAGGAGAAAAAAAGAAAGGGTTGAGTGGACGCAACGGTGACTCGATAAGATTAAGATCTAAGTCTGAGATAATGTTAAAGACTAAAGAGAAAAGGTGGAGTCGAAGCTTGAAAGTCAAAGGCTGTATGGACTATGGAGGTTGAAGAATATGAAAAGAATTTGAAGTTTGAAGAGTTAGAGTTTTCGAGAGTATTAGGGCAAATAAGAATAAGAAAGGTTGGGAAGTGAGTTAGGAGTGGAGTGAGATTATTTTTACTTCTAGAAGATGATGAGTCAAGAGAATTAATTAGTTAATTAGGGAGTATTAGTCAATTATTAAAGGTTTAGGTGCAATTGAGAATTGAAAAACAAAATAAATAAATAATTAATTAAAAAATTTTATATTTTTAAACGAGTAAACAAGTCAAACCAATTAACCCGATGGGTCAACCTGTTATTGACCCGTGACCTGTCGAGTTCTCTTAACGGGTCATTAATGGGTTACGGGTCATAAATATAGGACCCTAACCCTTTTTAAACGGGCGGGTAATGGGCGGGTTAACGGGTTGGGTAAAAAATTGCTAGGTCTAGATCAGCGTGGGGCATCATAACATCAGGCTCTCTCTCTGGTCATTTGTAGTTAGCAGGACTGAACATAATGGGCATGTTTTCCCATTTCGCTTCCTCAAACGGTTGTTTTAGGGGCCTATTCTTATTCACAACCATTACTTAATGAGCATAGGCTTTACGACCTCTAGCGCTCTGTCCTCTTGAATGCATGCTGCTAGAAATCATATTATCGTGCTTGAGGTTAGGGGTATTCCAATGTAGCTTACCCTCTATTGTCCTTTTGGTTCTAGGCCACAGTTCTCTATCCCTATCCTTGTCTATTGGATTGGCATCCCCTGTATGCTTTGGCCGGCTCAGAAGGGTATTGATTCCCTTGGTATGGGTTCTGATTATTGCCAAGTTGGTACCCTTTTCCATGAGGTTGGATGTAATCTTGTACATAATGGGTTTGGCTAAGTTACTAAACGTAAGATTTTTTGACGTGTTCTTCCAGTTTTCCATTGCGAGCTAAAAATTCCAGCTCATCCTTTAAACTCTGGTAGTCGTCTGTATTGTGGCCATACCCATGATGGTAATCACAATATTTACTCCTGTCTACTTGGCGAGAATCATGGAGAAGAGAAGACGGCCTCTTGATCCAATGTTGGATCTGTGCCAAAATTTGAGATCTCAACAGGTTCAAAAGGATGTAATTAGCATACTTTGGAAAAGAAGGCGGTTTTCCTCTCTAATTGACAACTTTCTATTTTTTCTTTTCTTCCCTTCCTTTTGGCTATTCGTGCTCCTTATTCTACTTATCATCAACTTGTCTTTTGGATGACTAAAAGTTTTCCAACAAGATGAAGCTCGCAGACCTGTCACTCACCTCATTCCATGACTTTGGTGGATTTTCTAGCAGGTCGTCCAAGAATCTACTAGGCTTGAGGCCGTGCAACAAAGCAGACAAACAGACAGTGTCAAGGACATTGTCAATGTCGAAAGTTGCCTTGCTGAATCGTTACATGTAGTCTCTTAATGATTCTACTTCCCTCTGATGTACTTGCATCAGCTTAGTGACTGTGCATTTTATTTCTTGTTGGCTCGCAAATTTGTTAGAGAACAAAGTAGCAAGCTGGGAGTATGAAGTTATTGAATGTCTGGGAAGTTTGTGATACCATCTTCTAGTGATCGACTTCAAGGTTGTAGGGAATACCTTGCACATCATAGCATCAATAGTGTTTTGGATTTTCATGATGGCTTGATAAGTATGCAAGTGTTTGTTTGGGTCACCAGAGCCATCATATGTTTCTAATTGAGGGATCTTGAACTCTTCCTAATATGGTTCCACAGTAATGGATAGGTTGAGAAGGGCACTATCTAAATCCAAAGCCTATTGGCGTGACCTTGGACTTCTCAGCTCGTCAATTGACTTTTGTATGTCTTTGAGCTACCTTTTGAGCTTTGTATTCTTCCTCATCAACTCCTCATTGTGCTTTGACGAGCTAGGCTCAGGGTTTGACTTCCCATTTGCCCTTGGCTTGGTTGACACTACCACATTGCTTAAGGCTAGAGAATTGCAAGCTATAATTTCTGTGGGATGCTTGCCTCTATTCAACAATGGAATTAAGGGATCATCAAGAATCAGGCAGGAGAGAATCTTTCCCATGGCCATTTCTAGAACTTTGGTTCTTTGCTCCAATTTGGACGTTCAAGCAGACTTTATAGGTCTTTCATGTCGTGAGGTATTATACCTCGGGTGCCTTTGCCTCGTTTCCACTGGAATCTAAAACTACTCTTCAGGCTGGGTGGCATACCTGGTGGGTGTTCGCTCATCATCCGAGCTATTTAACTGTTCTTACTTGGCTCTTCCTACAAAAAGTTTTCACAACATTGGCCAAAAGTCATTTAGGCTTAACTTTAAAAGCTAGGTGTCATCCTGATCGTCCATCCCGCTCCTCGGAAGGGGGTAGTTCCCATTAAAAGTGCACACCATGTTTAACTTCAACACCAGCAACACTACTTCTTTGCTTAGTTCCCACAGATGGTGCCAAATGTTTACGCAGCTTTACAAACCTACACTATATAGATCTTCAACTGCTTCAACACTTGAAAAACCTGAGAATGTTTCCTCAGGGAAAACACTCCGACACTTAAGTCAGCAATACTCAATATTCTAGAGAGTGAAGCTTTTGAAAGTAATTGTAGAGAGAGAAATGTTGTGGAGTTATTACCTTGAGCAAAGGTAAGTGGGGGTATTTATAGCCCTCGAGTGATGGCATAAGGCCATACATGTAAGCATCTGATTAGTCCATGTGTAGGCATCCACGTTGGTATGTCTAGACTGGTGCAAGGATGTATCTTTATTCTAGACAACTTTGGGCTTCAGGACAAGAATTGGGCCTAATGCAACAAGCCTGGGTTGATTGTTGGGACTATTCTCAATAGGAGAGAATGAAATATGTTAGAAAATTACACAAATAGTGAAATTTGGGCTGGGATTTTCATCCTTCTATCCATCTCTTTTCCTTGAATATTTTTTCTCTTCATATCTTTGTTTTCATATGGCTATGGATCCATTTGATTTTTATGGATTACCCCTAACTCTGATATCTTCTATGTTGGTTGCTAAGAAACGTGGGAAAGGTAAATTATGGAAGCAATTTTTTCTTTTCAAGTTTTAATTGTGTTGTTATTATTATTATTATTATTAGAAAAAGAGTATAAATCAATTGCGACTTTCAAAATGAATTGAAAATTTAATTTTAAATTATTTTATTTTATTTAATTAATATTTAATTTAAAATTTAAAAATCTATTTTATTAAATACTAATAATTGGATTTGAAAATTGATTATATGTTCTAATTTAAAATTTAAAATTGATTATATTAGAACATATAATCAATTTTCAAATCTAAGTATCAATATTTAATAGAGTAGATTTTTAAATTTTAAATAGAGATTTCAATTTTCATTATAAATTGATGTTTTAATTTTTTTAAAGTAGAGACTGATATATACTAGCCTCTTATTATTATTATTATTATTATTATTATTATTATGGAGATAGAAGAAAAAAAATATTTTACGAGGCGAATTGCAAATTAAAAGTGTATTTCAACTTATAAAGTTCTTAAAATATTTTTAATGAAATTAGTTTATATATATATATTTGATAAATAGAAGTATTATTACTCAACAATCAAACTCATTACATAAAGTTTTGGCTAGAGAATCTACCCAAACACCCTCCCAAGGTGGCGATGGTGACAAAAGATGAGCTAGTTTGTGTACCAACTTATTACAACTTCTCTTAACATGCTTAATACTGAGAAAATCAAAGCTAGACTTTCTAGCTCAGAGATCCGCAACAATAGCTCTGAAAGGCAGATAACAGTTTTCAAAAGAATTCGCAATAGCAATAGCCTAGACATTGTCAGATTCAATTTCAATTTTTTTGCAACCAAATTCCTTCCCCAATTGCAATGCAAACTCTATGGCCATAACCTCTTCTTGAAGAACCATCCCTTGAAAAGTGCAGGTTCGTAGCCTAGCCCCTAAAACTGTTTTTTCACTGTTCTGTAAGACTACTCCCAAGCTTGTGGTGTTTTGGTTTTGTGGGATAGCAGCATCTGTGTTGAGCTTGATCATATGTCCTTGAGGTGGTTGCCATACATTTTGGCAGGCTCTTTGCTCCGATTGATGAATTTGGTTACCTATGTCAGCTGTTGTAGTGTACTCCTTCATATATTTGGATATCTACGTGACAGTAAATTTTGGTTTGGAACTACTAAACTGAAAGAGGCAACGGTTTCGGTTGTTCCATATGCACCATAATGTAACAACAACCCATTCCTTTTGCTTTCTGTTGAGCTTAAGCAAGGAGTTTAGGAAGTCATCAAGATACTCTTGAGGCTTGATGTTGTTGACAGCAAAGAAAGGACAAGAACCTACCCAAACTTGCTTGCTCCAATGATAGGTGAAAAAAACATGGTAAGGGGATTCCTCTGCCTGTTCACAGATGCAACAAGATCTAGCACAATCCACACCCTGATTCTGCAAAGCCAGTCTAGTTGGTAAAATTTCCCAAATGAATTTCCAAAGAAATTGCTTGACCTTTGGCACTGTGTCCATATGCCATGCAACAGTCCATACAGGCTTCATAAGCTCATTGTACTCACCAAGACTCGATCCATATATTGCATCCCACGAAAATCTATATGCTGATCTTACTACAAATTGTCCATTAGTAGTATGCCTCCAAATCAAACAATCATGGCCACAGTTCTTGCTCAGTGGAATGCTATTGATGTTCTGCACTATATCACTAGGAAACAACTATTAGAGTTTAACTTAATCCCATTTCCATGCTTGCTGGTCAATAAGGGAGCTTACTTGTGCTTCCCACTCTAGGGTGTTATCTCTTATGATAGATGAATGCCCTTTAAAATCTAGAATCCAAGAGTCTCTCTAAAGGTGCATCGAAGCCCCATTTTCTATCCTCCAACATGAACCCTGCTTAAAAATTCCAAGGCCAGCCATGACCCCTCTCCACACCATTGAGGGGTTATTTTTGAGTTCAGCTTCTAGTAATCTACCATTTTTAAAATACTTAGCTTGAAGAACCTGATAGCATAAAGTAGTAGGATCTTGCATGAGCCTCCAACTTTGTTTTGCAAGCATGGCTAGGTTGAAAGCTTGAAAATCCTAGAATCCCAAACCACTAACGGTTTTAGGTCTGCAAACTAAATCCCATCTTAGCCAATGGATTTTGCGACTATCAAAGTTGTCTCCCCACCAATAGTTACTAATTATGCTATTAAGAGATTGCAAAAAGTTTTGAGGAAGGTGAAACACCCCATACAGTATATGGGTATCGCCTACACTACAGCTTTGATCAACACTTCATGCCTTGCCTTTGATAATAACTTATTCTTCTAACCCTTTAACTTTGTCCATATGTGATCACGAATAGAGGCAAAACAAATGCTTTTACTCCTGCCTATAAAGAAGGGCATACCCAAGTATTTATCATCCGCCATAACTTGGGAAATGTTCAAGATCTCCATTACCTTTGATTGCACCTCCCTAGGAGTGTTGCAACTGAAAAAGACAAAAGATTTATTCAGATTAATTTGTTGCCTATATACTACTCCATATTGCTACAGAATGGTGACCAAATTAACGGCTTCCTTTTCGTTTGCCGCCCTAAACAACAAACTATCATTGGCAAAGAATAAGTGAGATAGTTTCTGACCCCCACAACAAACTGTAGCTCCATTCAGGTCTCCTTGTTGCAAACCATTCGATAACATAGATGAGAGACTCTTTGCACAAAATAAAAAAAAAAAAAAAAGAAAAGGAGATAAAGGATCTCCCTATCCAATTCCTCTTGAAGGGGTAAACTCCTTAGTAAGTGATCCATTAACCAAAATAGAATATTCGACAGTTCGAGCACAAGTCATTGCTTTATCCACCCAAGTCGAGGGAAGACCGATAGCTTGCATCACCCTCTATAAGAAATCCCATTCTACTTGATCAAATGCTTTACTCAAATCTAACTTGATGGCCATGTCACCTTTTGTTCCTTGATGCTTGTTCTTCAAGCTATGATATTGTCATATAGTAGTTGTCCAAGAATAAAAGCACTTTGATTTTTCGAGATTAAACTTGGTAACAAAGGTTTAATTCGATTGACCAAAACCTTTGAAATGAGCTTGTAAAGCACATTACACAAACTGATTGGACAAAAATCCTTCATAGAATCTAGGTTCTTCTTCTTTGGAATTAAGACAATATGAGTCTTATTCAATCTTAGAGCCAGAATGCCACCATTCAAAAATTGCAAGACAACCAATGCGACTTCTTGTCCAATTATAAGCCAATAGTGCTTAAAAAAGCCAGCATTCATTCTATCTAGTCCTAGGGCCTTTGAAGAGTGGATTTGTTTAAGTGATACAAGTACGTCTTCTTTGGTGTATCTCCTGGTCATCACCGTTACTCGAGTGTGGGAAACTCGTTGAGGGATTTGTTGAAATATATAGGAAGGATCTACTTGGGCTTTTAAGGTGAACAGATCTTGAAAATAGTGAAGAGCAATCTGTTTTGTGCCTCCATGATCCCTAACAATGTGCCCTTCTGCATCTTGCAATTCAGTAATGACATCCTTCTTTCTCCTTTTTGAGGCTCTAGTATGGAAAAATGACGTGTTTTTGTCCCCTTCCTTAAGCCATTAGATTCGAGATCTCTGCTTCCAATAAATCTTCTCCTAGTGCTGTAGAGTACGTAACTCATTCTCCACCTCTTCTAAGTGCTCCAAGGTACACTCACTAGAAATCCCTTTATGCAGTTTTGCAAATTCGTCTGCAGCTTCTTAATACGTTCAGGAATGTTCCTGAATTTATGGGCACTCCAATCTTACAACACAACACCACTCCTCGTAATTTTATCGAGGACTATATCCATCATTGAGGCCCCTACTCCTTGGCTCTATGCTTCTCGGACAACAATTTCACACTCAGCATCACTAAGCCAATAATTCTCAAAGCAGAATTGGCGGTAACCTTTTCTACCAACTCGTTGAACTCGACGTTGGACTTTCAGTAAAATGGGTGAGTGATCCGATCGCACAATAGGAAGGTGATGAGATATAGATCTTGGGAACAATTCTTCCCATGCATGATTCATAAGAACTCTATCAAGTTGTTCTCGTAAGACACAATCTTGTTGCTTTCGAACAAAGGGAAATCGGGGTCCTTTAAACCCTAACTCTGAGAGTTCACAATATGCTATTGCATCACAAAAGGATTGGATTTGATATTCGAATCTAGGATTCCCTCTTATCTTTGCAGATTGTCTCACTATTTCATTGAAGTCACTTAGACAAACCCAAGGCAAAGTAGAAGATGATTTGAGCGATTTGAGTCAAGCCCAAGATTCATGACGCCTTCTAGTTTCTGGCTGTCCATAGAAACCAGTTAAATGCCATCTTACATCTATTAAATCCTGAGTTTCCATGTCAACATGAGATTGAGAGTACGTGAGAAGCTGGATCTACACCTCCTCACTCTACAAGACTGTTAAATTGCCACTATGGTTAGAGCTGCCAACTGAAAAACAATTAGAGAAACCCAATTCCAACCGGATTCATTCCATCTCTACTATAGTTCATTTGGTCTTTGATAGGAATAGAAGCTATGACTTTTGTGTTCGAATGATTTTCTTTAGTTCTGAAAGTGTTGAAGAATTACCTAGGCCGTGATAGTTCCAAGCCAGGATCGTAACTGAAGCCATTCCAAATTGAAATAAACAAAATAGGAAGAGGAGAAGGAGGCCCTAAAACAAGGAGGAAAGCTAAAGCGAGAGGCTCACACACACGAAGGATAGGGGAACCCTAACCCTAGTCGTTGGCAAGAAAATCTTTTTTTTTTTTTTTTATAACTATACAACTTAAACTATGAAATAAAGGTAATTAGTTTTTATATTATTTCATTAAAAGTATTTTAATAATTTCATAAGTCAAACTGTTATTCCTTGTAAAATATCTAGGAAAAATAAAGTGGAGAAAAATTAGTAAAAAACAATTAATTAAAGATGAAAAGTAGAACGATATCGCCGAAAGTATGAGGAGCTTGAGCTAAGGCATGAATCAATCACTTTCTTTAAGACATTTTGTGCCACTAGTATAGCAGTTTCTTATGGTCATGCTACCCCTAGAATACAACAACCTAATCTTTCCTGTATGTATCTTTGCAAGTATTACACTCTTTACAAGAAAGCTCTACCCCCATCGCCTTTTCCATGCCCAAGAGGGTTTGAATACTATGTTTGTGGAATAAAAGTGCAAACTATGAAAAATTATATCAGTCATTGGTAGAAATGGAGGCTGCCTATTTATAGGCCTTCACAATGTAACCAAAAAAATAAAATGTGAGATTGTTACAATTTAAAGTAATGCTTGTTGGTTACAAGATTAAAACTGATGAGTAATTCTTGAATCTCGCCAGTTACAAAGACAAGAAATAGTACATAGATTTTTTGAAAATGAAATATTGTAAAATAGCAATTTACAACATAATGTTGCCGATTACAAAATAATGTTGCCGGTTACAACATTTGAATTTGATTTTCTCTTAAACAAAGAAATGCACAAATCCATTTTGAAAAATAGAAATGCATGGATTTATGAGTTTTTATGTTTCTATTTTTTAATTAAAATCTATAACATTCCCCCTCCATTTTAATTCAAAATAAAAGAAATGGAGAGGATGAAAGTATATAGGCAAGGATGAATTACTATGCATAATAGAGGTAGTAATGCCTTGAACCTCTACTTAGTGATTCAATAATTCCTATCCCAAAGTCACTAGTGAGAAAAGTCTTAAATTAGGACCACTCAAAGGATATAAGAGACCACATCACACACATAATAGTCCAAGTGTTAATTTGAGCTTGGTAAGCCGACACGTTAGGCCTTTGTGCCTAATCTTGGTATTCATGGATGATCTAGAGAATAACCTTATTCTCATTGGAGCAGCCCCACTTCAACATCCATATAGGTGAAATATGTTAAGGGTACTCTCATAATTAAGACACTCCACTCAATGAGCTACAAATTTCATTAAGAGTATATAACACTCAACCCTCAAATACGTTACGGGATAGATGAATCTACACCTTAGGAATGGGATAAGAATTCTATCCTTTTTTTTCCATATATATAATTTTTTTAATGCATCTTTCAACAACAATCTCTCTGTAATTTGTTTTCCCCATTCTGTCATAACTCAAATTTTTAATAGAATTTTATTTTATTTTAGTTTTATTGTATTTTAATTAATATGTTTTATCTTTGTTTTCCTTGTTAGGTTCATGAGTAAGAAGGGGATTTTCGCGAAGAGGATCGAAAAGAAAATGAGGAAAAAGACTCAATTGAAGAAATCAAAAGTTGGAGGGGTGAAGTTCATCAAAACAAATTTAAAGCCCCAAACCCAACTAAATTGTCCCAACAAAAAAAATACCAAAACACAAAGCCCATCAATTACCCAAAACCCAAACCCAAAACAAAACCCAAAACCAATGCCCAAAACCCATTTAACCCAAAAAAAAAAAAAAAAAACAGAGGGGGATTTCTGGAACCTTCTTCCTCTTCCTCCTCACCCTGTTTTCCCCTTTTCCTTCCCTCCCCCAAAACCAGCCGGCAGCCACATGCCAAGCCATCACCATGCCCTACCCCCCCTCTCACCGAGCCTGTGCCCCTAACCCCCTCTGCGCGAACCAGCCACCCCCCCTCTCTGCACGAATCAGCCCCCCCTCGCCAGCACCCCCGAGCCCAGATCTGCACTCACACCCGAACCCTGCTCCTGCCCAGCCCTGCACACTGCGCCTGCTCTCCCGTCTGCACACAGGCAATCATACCTACCACACGCCTACACGCCCTACCCCTGCACGCCATTGTTTGCCCTGCTGCACCCCAGCCTGCACTCTGCCGCGCCTCCTGAACTCTATGCCCCACTGCCGGCAATGATGCCCCTGCACGCCCGAGCCATCATCAGCACTCCACGCCGCTGCCTCCCTGCACACCGCGCCTCACCCCCAATCCCGCGGCTCTGCACTCTGCTTGCTACAGCCCCATCATTGCCTCACATGCAGAAAAGACAGCGAATGCCGGACAAATGAGCATCCTCAGAGAAATTTTTTTTTTTTTATGTTATTTGTGTATATATATAGAGCAAAAAGCAGGTCTTTGGGGGTGGTTGGTGAAGTTTTGGAGTTTGCTTTGGGTTGGTTTTTGGTTGATTTTGGGTCTGTTTGCTGGGGAGTCTCGTCTGAGTTTTTGAGAGCAGAAGAAGGAAATTCTGAGGAGAAGAGGGGGGTCTTTTGCTGGTTGATTTTTGAGTTTAGTTTGAAAAGAAGATCGATTCTGCTCGCTGGAGGTGGGAAAACAAAAGGGTATTCTTGCTTTAGGTAATCTCCTGAACAGAGGGATTTTTGGGAAGGATA